TTTTGCTAGTATACCATGTAGCCTCTTCTGTTTGATTCTTAAGCATGGGTAATAAAAAGGACAGAGCTAAAGAGGAAATAAAGAATGCCTACTTCAAAATCTGCCATGCTGGGATAGAGGAGACTTATCACCAGTGCAGATTTTGCTGAAGAAAGTTAGTATGAGTTCACTGCACTGCTAATCTCTTCACAGAGGCAGAATAGCTTGGTACTTGAGTTTAGGTGGATTTCAGACAGGTTTGAATTGGATCTCATCTTGACGACCTACTATACAGCTTCTGTAAGCTTCTTGAAGCCTCAATTTCCTTATCCTAAAATGAGAACTACCTCTGGAGCTTTAAAGCACTTAGCACAATGTTTGGCACATCATAGACACTCAATTAATGTTACCTGTCGCCATTTACATTATTCTGAGATTTAAGGTTTGCATAAAATGTCTGTCTTCTTTGTGCAGCTGACTTAGCAACGACAGTGAGAATTTCGCTTGATGTTTCTTCCAAGCAACAGTGAACAGCAGAAAGAGATCTGGACAAGAATGAGGAGGGTTGCATTTTGTTTCCAGGTCGCCCTCTCTGCTGAGTGGCCCTAGGCCATCCTGCCCTCTCCAGCTATAAAATGGAGACTTGGGATAAAGGATCACCACCGCATGTGTTCTGAGCCACGGAAGAGGCTGTGGCTGGTGCCTTACGGCCGAGTTTACCTCATTAGCAGGCTTGCCAACTTTCTTCACTCTCATCCCTATCTCTGGCAGAAAACTCCCAATCTCATATCATGAATTTTTAGATTACTTGTTCTCTACAAATCCCTTTTTGTTTGGAGAATATCTTCCCCGGCTAATTGAACCTCAACAGATAGCCCGTCCTGCAGCCCGTGGTGGTTGTGAAACAGACTCTGACGAGTCTGATCCTGTCGCTCTTTGGGGAACTTCACCTGCTCATGGTTCTGCTTGAGGGACAGCAGTTCCTCCTTCAGGGACTCCACCTGGGCCTCCAGGTCAGACTTGCACAGGGTCAGCTCGTCCAGGATCCTCCGCAAGCCATTGATGTCTGACTCTACCAGCTGCCGCAGGGACAGCTCAGTCTCATACCTGTGATTACAGAAGGATCAGGGACAGACCAGGCAAGAACAGGCCTGGCCTTGACCCTGCTTTGGTTTGGTTTGTCAGACAACTAGGAATTAGGGTTTGTAGTTTTTGTAGCCATCCCAACACCGAGCACTAGCTCCTAAAGGAAAATGCACTGGTAATTTGTTTTTTAAGAGCCAGAAGGATAAAAGCCTATATACAGATTTCCAAAATTAATCCATGTTCCGCATTCTCATGATTGAGTTCTGTGCATAGTAGGGCATCAGGGGACTGTGGCACCTACACTGATTGGGGGATGTCGCTTTACAAGGGAGGAGCAGGTAGAGGAAGGAGCTTGTGCTGGAGGAGGCATCTCTGAGCTCTGCTGGGCAGTGGCTATGGATCTTGGAGAAAGTGTCAAGGGAAGAGCTCAGTCAACTTTGCCAATGTTGACACCAGGCTAAGGGCAGGATAGGGAGAGAGAGGAGACAGCAGCAGCAATGCCCCACTTGCCCACTCACTTGGTCCTGAAATCATCTGCAGCCAGCTTGGCATTGTCGATCTGCACCACCAGCCTGGCATTCTCAGATTTGCTGCACAGGATCTAGAAAACCCAAGACATTCTAGAATCAGCAAGGACTTGGTTATTTTTCACCAACAGAAATCCCTTTTTGCTTATATGGAAGGATCAGAAGGAGAAGTCATGGAGTATCTTAAAAAGACTATTAAGTGCTGCCCATGGACAATAGGTGCTCGATAAATATTTGAGAAATTAAATTAGAAGAAAAGAACACTAACATATGCAAGGAAAGTATGAGTAGATAAATAATCTTCCTCTTTCTTTCCTGACAAGCGATACTGAGATGCTGATAATAATAATGGTTGCCATTTGCTAAAAACACCATGTGCCTAGCATGGTTCTACTGGCTGAGGATACACGAATGAGTAAGCTCTGGATCCTGCCCTCAAGAAACGTTCGATCATGTGGGGAGATAAATATGGGAACGAGCGATTGCAGGTCCTGGTCAAGGCAGCAGCCACACTCCCCGGCCATGCTCGATGGCTTGATACCATTACCTCCTAGCTTCCAACCCTTCCAGTTTTAGCCAAACTTTTTAGGCCTCCACTGGACACTGTGCACCAGAAGAAGCCCAGAGGCGTGAAGGTCAGGACAATGAAGTCGGGAAAATTAGGTACCCAGAAGAGGAAGGCAACCAGCAGTCAGAGAAGCTGAAGGCCCAGATGAGGGAGAGAAAAAATGATCCAGTTCTTACAAAAGGTTTTATTTCCTTAGTTTCCTTCTTGGGCTTTCCTCTCAAACTTCAGGGTAACCAATCCAGAGCTTGGCAAGTGCATGGAAGTACTCAGAGGCAGCTTTTAATTATAGCTTATTTATGCAGAGTGCTGTTACCTCTACCTAGAGTAATACTGTGCACATATTTAGAGCTAACGGTCCCAAGTCTAAAGTTAGATGGGCCCTTAAGAGAACAAAATGGAAAGGCCAGACATCAACCTTTCCATCACACTGGAGCACATATTGTTTCGCGGTCATATCTCATATTCTCTCCCTACAACCCTCTAGAGGCGGTGTGGTGCCCACCCCTCACCTTCTGCTGGAGCTCCTCAATGGTCCGGAAGTAGGACTGGTAGCTGGGGCACAATAAGGGCTCCTGCGGCTGGCACCGCTCCTGGATGCGGCTCTCCAGCTCCGCGTTCTCCCGCTCCAGCTGGCGCACCTTCTCCAGGTAGCTGGCCAGGCGGTCGTTCAGGAACTGCATCGTCTCCTTCTCGTTGCCATTGAAGGAGCCCTCACAGAGCCAGTTGCAGTTGCCCACATTGGCGGGGATGTTGCAGGCCCCAGGCAGGGTGCAGCTGTGGCAGCTGGGGGCCACGCAGGGCCGGGAGCAGCAGCTGGTGCGGCAGCTCAGGTTGGGCAGGCAGCAGGTGTACGGCATGGTGCTGGGAGGGAGTGAGATGCCCGGCCAAAGACAGAGGCAAGTTCTCCAAGCCTCAGAGCTGTGGGCCTCCTTCCTCTGGGGACATTTATATCCCCTCTGCAGAGGGTGTGGACACGCAAGGCAGTCCTTTATTTTTTTGCTCATTTGGCGATTGTCAAAAGCCCTTCCCCTCTGTTTGTTATGTGTTTCCTCAGAAGAGTCCCTCACCTCATAAAAGACTTTACTTGGGCTTCTCGCTAAGTCAGGACTCCTCTTCCATGCTGTGTGTCATGAAGAAAGAGCTTCATGGTGTGGCTTCAAAGAGCTGAGCTCATGAAAGCCCTGGCCTTCATTAGTGGGGTGTGGCAGGTCAAGGGACAGTATCACTGCTCTGCTTCCTGGCTTGAGGGCCCCAGCTCTTGGCAAGCATAGCTCTTGCCTTTATATCTTTCACTAGGTCAAATTTCCAAATGTCAAGTTCCAAATTTATGGTTCTCTGAAAGAGGAACATTAAAACAACCTGGTTCCTGGTGGCCCTGTTTCCTGATATGATGGGCCTCATTCATACCCATGATGCCTCATTCATACCCATGATAATGTCAAACAACCAAATAAAAGATACCCACTAGGAGGAGAGTTTGTCCAAGGCAGTATACTGGACATTGTGAAGAGTGGAAGGTTAGAACCAGGGTTACGGCCAGAGGAGCTTGTCCTTGTTGACAACCTGCACAGGCCCAAAGTACTGATAGACACTTTCCATACACATGATCTTATTTGCTCCTCACCATGACCCTTCGAGGTAAATGGTATAATTCCCATTTTACAGATGGGCAAATCAAGGCATAGAGGGTAGGTGAAAAGTTGTGAAGCCAGGATTCCAACACAGAACACTGTGTTTTCTATCATAACATGCTTCTTGAATATAAACAACCTACATCTTTCCCTAACTTCTTCAGGCAGGTCACCCTTACCTCCTCTCTAAGCTCTCATTTTACCTTGAGCATGGCGTTGCCAAAACTAATGTGCTTCTCTCTCTCTCTCTCTCTCTCTCTCTCCCCCCCCCCCCCTGTCTGTCTCTCTTTCTCCTTGAGTTTCCTGAAGGCAAGGGCAGGATCTAACTCATCTTTGGATCCCCAGCTCTAAGAACCTGGTACACGGT